AATTCGAACACGTGGATGTCGGCAATACGTATCAGTTAAATTTGAAGCGCTGACGCAATACGACTCACCACGTGTCGGATGTTGCCACACAAAGTGACGGAATATAGGGATTTGGTAGGTTTCCATTCTAAAGGCTTTTTAATAAATATGGCAATATTTTGTGACGTTTCATCGTTGCTGACGCGTAGTGAAGTGTTTTGAGAGTCATGCGAAGGCAACAGAACTTACGTAACGCATACGGTTTTTTTATAGTTTTTCATTTCTCAATGCGTCCTTAAAGTGTCGGAATATACCACGTTTACCCTATGTGAATTTTTTAGACTCACCCTTAAGTTCATTTTTGAGGCCTACAAGTAGACCAGTAAAATATCATGGATACCAGCATTATCATACATAAGATATTCATTTAAATCTCAAGTAAATGAGGAGATAAAAAATGAACTGATTTTAAAAAACAAATTTGTAAAAAAAATTAGTTGAAAACTTGAAAAAATTGCCAAATCCTACATACCTACAAACTCTATCAATGGACATTTTATCAACAGACAATTCCAAGCCAAGCACATTTAATTCATATATAATAACATTGTTGAACTTGCAAATTCAAGCAGGCTGCCATTGCAGCCTGCTGAAGGCAAGTGAGCGTGAGCACGGTGAGCCGTGAGGCAAGATGAGACAAAATAGTTGTGTATTTTTAACTACTAAATAATACTTGGTGCAGAAATAAGTGGACTGGACCACTGGATAAAATTAAACATACAACATTTATCAATCCAATACGCCAATTCAGCATTTGAAGAACAAATGACCCATGGTACATTAGATTTCTTGTGAGTTGGGTCTCTTTGGGAGCTTGGGAGGACCATGAATAATGTCTTTTAATATCTATTTCACTACGGGCGGGAAAGCAAGTCACGCTTTCTATTAATAATATAATTGTGAATAATATGCACTCTAACTCACCTAGGACAATGTTGTAAAAGTCTACGTTAGCAATTTGGCCATTTACAAATATTAAATTCACAAACATAAATAAGATCGGTCCTTTACAGCATTGTTTACTCCCTTGCAATCATAAACAAACATATAGCCTCGGTAGATGGCGCTAGCATCGGAATACTAGGAGTAATGTCCCAGTTAGAAACGCAAGCGGACATCCCCCCCTCGTTAAATTTTTATTACTTTCATATGCACGTGCTCGTATTATTTTTCAAATTGAATTTCGTGATTTTAATTATTAGAATACTGAAATTCCATAACGATTTTGCTGCAGTTTCAATTTATGTCTTAACCAATTATGTTATTATATATATTATATCCCAAATCTAATATTATTTTTGTTATTTTGCTCAACTGAAACTATATAGATCTTGAGCTATATTTCGATCCTATGACTTTTGATTACATTATGCCAGCCAAATGGTCTTTACTGCTTGTTAAATGGATGCTGCGCCTTGCCAATCGCCTGTTATGAAATTCTAATATCTAATTAGATTTATAAAAACTCATGAAAATTCATTTCAACCTTGAGTCCAAACCTTCCTCTCAACATAAATTGAATCAGATCGCACTTATTCGTTCTCTAGTGGATTTTTTCAGCAGCTGTGTTAATTTTGGAGGTCTCGGACAAATTTACGGCCTCGCGGACGGTCTCACGGTCAATATTCAAATTCAGTGACCAAGAAATATCTCCCAAAATAATGAACGCAGCTCGATGGAACTTGGTACGTGCATTCATCAAAACCTAACCGTGATGTTTAGCTTGCGAAAGTTTTTTTAATGTCACCTTCATTCGTGAATTATACGGCAATTTGGGCCAACATTTTCCAGCGACCAAGAAATTTCTTCTAAACTACTGAACAGATTTTAATGAAACGCTGATTATACAAACCTAATCTCCCGACGATGATGTTTAGCTTGTGTCAATTTTTTTCGATTTTGTCTTCGTTCGTGAGTTATACGGACACACATAGAAATGACCAGCATTTCTGAGGCCGATTATTAAATTTGCATTGACAAAGAGCCGTATACGTATAGCCGTAGAACTCGCAAACGAAGGCAAATTCGCGAAAAATTGTCACGAGCGAAACATCACCGTTGGGAGGTTAACTTTATGCGTATATTCAAAGTTTCATCTAAAGCGTTCAGTAGTTTAGAAGAAATTTCTTGGTCACTGCAAGTTTCGGCCCGAATTGCTGTATAATTCACGAATGAAGGTGAAATGGAAAAAAAATCATGAGCTAAACATCACCGTTCGGCCCTGCTGAATACGTGTACCAAGTTTCATCGAGCTGTTTTCATTGGTTTGGGAGATATTCCTTGATCATTGAATTTGAAGATTAGCCGTGAGACCGACCGATAGCCCGGCCGTAAATTTGTCCGACGCCTCAATTTTGGTGGTGAGCAATGGTTGCGACTACGAATTTGGCGACTTTTCGACCTATGATCAAGCCAATTGATCATTTAGAGTCTCCCTAACTCCGCGGCTAGTGTATTCAGAATCCTTCATAATATTATTCATGAGAAAAAAACTGTGAAAAAAGCCGTTGGAATGCAATAGTATGCAAATTAGGAATCCAATGTAATGCAATTTGCAGAGGTAACAGTTAGGTAAGCAATATTCCGGATATTCTTTGTTACAAAATCGAGTCAAGGTCACATCATTATTCTTGACTAGGCCGCGGCAATAATCCGGATTATGTCGCACCAATATTTCGGACTTGGTGGTAGCCATGCTACGTGCACCACCACAGCTGTGGTAGCCATGCCATGTACACCACCACAGCTGTGATAGCCATGCCATGTGCACCACCACAGCTGTGGTAGCCATGCCATGTGCACCACCACAGCTGTGGTAGCCATGCCACGTGCACCACCACAGCTGTGGTAGCCATGCCATGTACACCACCACAGCTGTGTAAGTTGCTGTCCTGTGTAAGCGGGCTCTCGAGCTCACCGTCATCGATCCTGTGGACGCGAAATCTCGTGGACATCAATAAACATTGCGAAGACGCGAGCTCTAATTAACACCCGCGAGCCTGATTAATTGCCGCAGCTCTAATTAACACCCGTGGCTAAATTTTATCCTTCACACCAATCTGATAATGATTTTTTTGACTGATAATGCTTTTGAAAATCTACCATTCTAATAAATGAAGTATGTCTACTTGATAATATCATCTAGGCCTTACGATCATCAAACACCTTACGGTCAGCGAACACCTTACGATCATCGAACACCTTACAATCATCGAACACCTTACGATCATCGAACGCCTTACGATCGTCAAACACCTTACGACCATCAAACACCTTACGATCATCAAACACCTTACGATCATCTAACACCTTACGATCATCGAACACCTTACAATCATCGAACACCTTACAATCATCGAACACCTTACGATCATCGAACACCTTACGATCATCGAACACACTTACAATCATCGAACACCTTACAATCATCGAACACCTTACAATCATCAAACACCTTACAATCATCGAACACCTTACAATCATCAAACACCTTACGATCATCAAACACCTTACGATCATCGAACAACTTACAATCATCGAACACCTTACGACCATCGAACAACTTACGACCATCGAACACCTTGCAATCATCGAACGCCTTACGATCATCAAACACCTTACGATCATCGAACACCTTACGATCATCGAAGTCCTTACAACCATCGAACACCTTACGATCATCGAACGCCTTACGATCAGCGAACAACTTACGATCAGCGAACAACTTACGACCATCGAACAACTTACGATCAGCGAACAACTTACGACCATCGAACAACTTACGACCATCGAACACCTTGCAATCATCGAACGCCTTATAACATCACCGAGACAATAGCTATAGTATTCGCTAAAAATGCTGAAGCTTAGCATGACATTCTGATCAGGCATGTTCCTCGCACTATACCAAGCGTAAAAGGTAACAGCTAAGCTCTACTGTATGTAGTGCATAACGCATCGATGTAGTCCAGCTGGCTGGAGCCGACATTGTGGGCATTATGCCAAGTTATGAAAATAACTGCTTAGCTCTTAAATGCATAAAGTCTCGGAATAATAATTCTGCCTCGAGATGATATTGTTAACATACCTCATCAACGCCAAGTTATTAAAATAACTGCATGGCTCTGTAATGTATTGAAACCTCATCATAATAACGCTGGCTCGCAATGATAGTGTTAACATATCAAAACTATACCAAGTTATTAAAATAACTGCCTGGTTATAAAAAATAATGTCCTGGTATAGTAAAGCTGACACAAACCAATATTATCGACATATTATGCTATGCCAAGTTAATAAAATAATAACTGCTAAGCTCTGTAATGCATATTGTCCTGGTATAGTAAAGCTGACACTAACCAATTTTGCCGGCATATAAGTTTTGGAAGTGAGCGGGTGTGAGTCTTGNGGCATATAAGTTTTGGAGGTCAGCGGGTGTGGGTCGTCAAGGTAACGTCGGTATGCAGGCCAAACATTGCGTTGGACGGCAGTCAGTCGTGTTTTCTGAAGGTGCTGCGCGAGGTGCCATCAGTGTGACTGAAGTGCCACTGCCATTTTTCTTGATATACTCAGAGCAATTTAAATCATATTTTGTTAATAAGCCGCATTTCAAGACGTTGCTCTCAAGATTTATCTGATCGCACGTCTGAGCTGCAGAATAACTGAACACTTTATTTCACAATATGTAGGGCATCGACTTAACATGACGATACATTCGGTACGTCCGCATCATCACGACTCTTGACTAGAATATAGACATGAAAAGATGTCTTTTTAACATGGCTTAGATACTTGAATAATCCCTAGTACTTCTGAAGTATATGTCTCTGAAATTATGATTAAGTTAATTGAAATCGGAAATTGCATGGCACATGCTATATAACATCCCCGCATATCTTGACACGTTTTCCCCTCATATTTCGCGCTTGCAAGCTCTGGATGAGCTTGACGACGTCACGATCCAGCCCATGTGCGTGTCGTGTCTCCACTGAATTCCTGGGGCCATACTTTCAAAACTCGCTAAGTGAACGTAAATACTTACGCTCTATTGTCTTGTCTATGATTGGTGAATTTTGCTTGAAAGGCCGTCAATGATTGGCTGATGAACTTACGATCTCTTAACTTTTTTTTAAAGTATAGGCCCTGAATACTTCATCGCTGACTGTCAAGACGATGGAAATTCAGGGCAACGTGCAGACCGTATCGGGGCCGTTGCGTACTCATCGATTCTGTCAATGTTTCTGTCGTTCTTGATTCTGTCAATTACGTTCTTGTTTCTGTTTGAGCGCAACGTCAAATTCGATGATTGCTTGGACAAAATCAATACATATCGATCAATTTTTAATCAATTATTATTTAATTGATTAATATTTATTCATACAGTTTAATATGTGTCAACGAGTGAGCCACCTGGTAGAAACATTTGTGTGCTAGAGGAATCATGGCTATAGGTAGTTAAAACAAACTTAAATTAAAACAAACTTAGATATAGGACAATCTAACAGGAACAGCAAGGAAAGGCGTGACTATTCTCATATAGAATATAGAAAATATTGACCTAATAAACATTTTGATACAGTGACTTATAGGATATACAGTTTCTATGATCATATTATTCCTAACATCTGCAACTAAAAGTATGTTTTCAGTTTTGCTAAGTTAACCTTTTCTGTCACCAGATTTTCATATTGTTAAGTTCAATAGACGCTCGAAGTAAATAAACTTTTATATATGTTCGAAGTTAATTAACTTGTATTGACTCTCGGATACAATAAGATTGCACTGAATATCAAATTTAAAACGGAAAAAAGCTCGTTCGTTAAAACACTGAAAGAAAAGGTCGTTGAGTACAATTTTGTAAGTTCACAGCGAAAACCTGAAAAAAACCAAGACACATAACTCACATGACACACTGCATGCATGACCCACTACCCGCATGAAACGCTACAAACATGAGTTATATATGAGACAAGTTAATTAATAAACACGTACCACGCCACACCGACGCCAGTCACATGCAGTACCCAGCTTCACACACGAGGTTGCTATAACCATCAAGGAAATATAGCTAGTAATTCCTCCACGATGACCACGTCTCTAGAGAAGCGGCGGGAGCTGGGGTGCACCAGCGCCGCGCCCTTTTACAGCCTCCCCACCAGGAAGACCTCAGCGCAGATCATTGCAGAGGCGCGGCAGGACATCACCCTGAAGGAGGGTGGGGTGTTCGCAGCGACGCTGCCACGTACCGGCGTGCGCACCGTCAACACCAAGAGGCCCTTCACGCCGCGGTGTCAGGAGAGGACTTTGTTCGGCACCCCTGCTGCCCTGCGGGGAGAACGGCCGCCCAGTTCCTTCACGTCAGTACTCATGTTCTTGGTCCTTGAATGTTTAGTTATGTTTTACGCACTAAAAGTTTCCTGACATTAATTTATAACGTACACTTTATGACTTGCTCGCTACTGCTGTACCTGCACGGCGTAAGCTGTGCGGTACAGTAATGTCATTCCATCTTCGTTGAACCTTCATGTAATCGCTCGTTATACGTTCTAACTTGTGGGGTATAATTGACATCTTAATGTGTTTTTGACCATTTTAAGGTTTATTTGAACATTCTTTTTTATCGTGGGACATTCTAAAAGATTTTTGAATATTCTCAGCTGTAGTTAGAAATTTTTAGGTGTTGTTGGACTTAAGGTGTTTTAGGTTAAGGTGTTTTAGTCATTCTAAAATGTTGTTAGGTATTCTGAGGTGTAACATTCTAATATTTGTTGATATTCAAATTTAATGTTGGACCTCTCTGATGTTGCGGACATTTTGAGGTGCAGTTGCGAACGATTCTACATGTTAATTACCAATCAAATGTGTTGTTGCGAAGGTTTAAAGGGGCTGTTGCGGGCATTTAACGTTTTTTTAATCTTATAAGACGTTGTTGCAAACATTTTGAGGTGGTGTGGACGGTTTAAGGTGCTGTTTCTGACATTTAACGGACTTTAAAACATTCTACGGTGTTGTTGCTGGAGTTTCAATTTGTCCCTATGCTCTTCACAAGCAATTAATCATAAAATTAACATTAACTGCCACATTCATTTTCTTTTCTACTGCCCCCAGGCTTTCCCCGTTGCAATTTGACCCCAATGACCCCAGCGGACGAACTACCGTCCTCGCCGAGATCCGAGAGGTGAGGATGGAAGGGGATGAGGATGAGGGTTGGGGAGGATGCAGACTCAGTAAGGTGAAGGTAGATGAGGATAACTGTATATGAGGATGAGGGTTGGGGAGGATGCAGACTCAGTAAGGTGAAGGTAGATGAGGATAACTGTATATGAGGATGAGGGTAGATGAGGATAACTGTATATGAGGATGAGGGTAGATGAGGATAACTGTATATGAGGATGAGGGTTGGGGAGGATGCAGACTCAGTAATATGAAGGTAGATGAGGATAACTGTATATGAGGATAAGGGTAGACGAAGATTTAAGTAGATGAGGGTTAGAGTAGCGCATGATGAAGGTAGCCCGGTAGCGGAGGATGAGAGTAGCGAAGAAAGGGGGTAAAAGTGAACGATGGTAACGGTAGATGTAGGTAGCGGAGAAGGAAGTAGAAATAAATGAGAGTAGTAGTATAGTATAGTATAGTATCTTCGGCATTTAAGGAATAGGCCTGGATAGGCCTGTCGCCGATTCTTGTGCTTTTCTTCACTAGACTGGCCTTTTGATCAGATCTTTTCAACGGACGGTAGATTTAAAATAGCTTCTAGATATCAGTTGTTCTTCGGGTACGGGGCATTTTAAGACTAAACATATGCTCATGCATGGCCTTGTCTAGTCTGTTCTTGAACGCGTTCATACTCCTGTCTCTTATACACATCTAGATGTGTATAAGAGACAGGGGCTATACTGTCTAAGGGACAAACTAGAACGCGAGGTAAACTTCCTAACGGTGTTGCCAAGTCAGAGGAAAAAGGATATATTTATTTAAAAGTCGTAATTTCTAGGTTCGCTACAGTAGTACCCCGCCAGATGTCGGAGACATAATACTCAGTAGTACAAGAAATCAGCAGCAGGACGAAAACCTACACGTCGGCCTGAGCGAGTTGTTCGCCGCGGAGGATCAGCCGGGTTGCTCTCCGGAATGGGCTGCTCAGCGTCAGCGGGTTCCTGTGGGTGCTTTGCTGACTTTTCTTTGGCGTCTTGTGGCGGATCTGGCGACGAATTCTGATTTGGCTCTTTTTTCGGAGATGGTTGTATATATGCTGGTTTGAGTCTGTCGATGGATACAGTTTGTTCAACTGAGCCAGTTTTAATTACGAAGTATTTGGTTGTTCTCTTCACCACCAGATGAGGTCCTGTGTATGGAGCTTCAAGAGGTTTCCTTACTCGATCGATGCGCAGCCACACGTGTGTGCAGGCTGTCTCTTATACACATCTAGATGTGTATAAGAGACAGATATTATATTATATTATATGATATTATATTATAGTGTCAACTAAATTATATAGGTTACAGAACAAATTAAATGAGTGGAAATTTGTTATGACATTTTTATGATGCTAACGGACCATTAATGTTCATTCATATTTGCCGCTGTTTCTCTATCATTGATGTTACTAACACATCATTGCTGCTGCTATCGAATCATCAATGTTAACACACCATTGCTCCTGTTATCATAATATTGTTGCTGCTATCACAGGATTGATGTTGTTAATAAGTTCATAATTCTCTGAGACGATATTGCAATGAATAGTTTGTAATTAATTTTATTGGCATGTCTGATCATCATGTCTGATCATCATGTCTGATCATCATGTCTGATTATCATGTCTGATCATCATGTCTGATCATCATGTCTGATCATCATGTCTGATCATCATGTCTGATCATCATGTCTGATCATCATGTCTGATCATC